TATCATTCTGGTTGGCAACTGACAATAGTTATGGCTACTGGTTATCATTATATTATTAATAATGCTACTCATTATTATTTATTATAGCGATCGATTGATTGGCTTATTCGTACGAACTGCACGTTCGTATAAATCGCAGAGTTTCTACGCTCAGTTCTTAAAATAGATGCCTGTGTTATGGCATGCCTGTGAACATGGAAAATGTATTTGTAAAAAAAAAAAAAAAAAAAAAAAAAAAAAAAAAAAAAGATCCAAATAGTGTATTTTTTTTTTTCATTAGGAGGTGCTATAGGACGATTAATAATATATGAGCAGATTGCAGCGGTTCTATAGCCTAGATTCTCTCAAATATCTACGCGATACCACAGAATTTTTACTCCCTAGAATGGCCATCTACACGGTTGAATCATTATGAAATTTTTCTTACTAATTTAAGGTGTTACAAACTACTTAGAGCATGAATTATGAGATGGCAGAATTTACTTCAAGATGTCGGTCAGGCTTCGTCTCTCCATGGGCGCACCTAGCAGTACACTCGCATGTCACTAGTTCGACATACGTAGGTTTCATCTGGCTAGAATTTCTAACTAAGTCGACGTCACCCGGAAGGGACTCACAGTAACCTTTAATAATGTAAGATCAGCTCTTCAAGTATGAAATCCGTTCTTTTTACTGCAACAAATGGCACCTAGATCTTTCCCAGTTCAGTACAATTGAATCCTTTATCATTCTTATAACAATCTAAGTTTTAAACTTATGCCTAGCTGTTGCGCTAAACAGGATCCATGGCTTGCCAAGAAGGAAGCGCGTTAATGGGCGCTAAAATAGAAGTTGGCTTGCTTACCAGAACCAAAATAACAAGGGCGTTGGAGTAAAAAGTAGTTCACTGTAGGATCACGGGAGGTCTGATATTAACTAATGAACAACACCGCTAACAAAGATTGAGGTGTTCCTACAATCTGATCCCGCAAGAGACAGAATATAAAAAGATTTTACAATATAGTTTCGTACTTCGTTGGGTTATTATGTCCCGTACTGACGACAGCGTTGTTATTTTGTTGAGAGGTGCCATCGCTAACATCAGGCTACAGTGCTCAGCAAGGTCTCGACGTGTGATGCCTCATGATTTAATTTGGGCTTTGACATCTCTAGGAGAAGTATACACACCCGTCCTGCAAATTTTGAAAATTGCCCTTTCCAGTTTGTTAGTCACACAATGAGCCATTATTTTCTCCAATGAGAGCTGTGTTTCTGACAATACGTCCAGTTAGTATTCCAGTTTCGCTAAATCTGAGGGCCGCTAGGTTGGAAGGAACGGAATTCAGAGAAGGCTTACTGTCTTCGAAAGTCAGAGGACGTCGAAAACGAAGGGCGCGAAACTTTACAATAGAGTACACACTGCTCTTCTATTAACGACAAAATGATCGGTAAACGGCAAAGTGATTGATTTCCATTGATAGCAAAACAGCAAACATTTATAGTAAACGCAATTTTTGGCCAAATCTTTATAAGCAGGATACATGGTTTAATAGCATGATTTAGGTCATCAATTTGGAACGCCACAGTGCAATTCGATAGATTTAATGTTCGAGAATAACAAAATTACATATTTTAATCTGCCAACCAATATAGATAGATATATCGCGCATGTAGGCATGCGCGCAAACCCTAACATAGCACACAAAAATTCTGACCAAGTCGACAGTTTATGGAGCTAAATGAAGATGTACTGTTGAAAAAATAATATTGTTAGTGACTTAATTCGTACATCGTGTTCGTCTTGGTAGCTTGTCCGCCAACTTGAGTAATACTAGCTTTCATTTATTACCACTAACGGCGGCAATACGCTAACCTACCTAAGTCGTAAGTGGGACTTTCGAAAATAAGGTAAGAAATGAGACTATGTCGATGCTGACTCAACATAGTTATATGAGAATTTACGGATTCGCTTTTCGAAATTCTGCCATCAATCGTCCTAGGCTATTCGGCGAAGAAGACGCATTAGGTGAATACACCAATAGCAGGTCAATCTTGAATCAACATCGTTAATAGACCTCTAGCGTTGTCAAGTGTGACTCCACGGACGGGTAAACACGTTGGATTAATTGCCACACCTAATCTATGCCAATTAAATTATAATAGGCTTAATAATTAGGTAAAGGTAAAGTCAGTTGGTGCTGCACAGAGTGCGCCTATCTGTTTAATGGTCATACAAGAAGTGAGAGACGGTGCGCTTGTCCGTAAGGAATAGCCACAGTTGTATCCCGAAGGCAGGTGGCGACCTATCGGCAAGAGGCGCGGGTAATGGCGTGCGTCGAAAAAGTCGCTCGTCAACTGCGGTTTCATCAAAGGTGCAACTTGAACTTCTATCTGAAAACGTTCTGTCTTCCGGAACCGATATAGGCCTCGCATGTCAGTCGTGATAGCACGGCATTTTAACTTTTTAGGTGATATAAGCAATGAACTCGATTTGACCTAAGGCAATACTTTCTTCTAGACTAAGTTAGGCAACATCTAACGACGACGTTATATATCAATAAAGCACCCTATAGGTCGTGTGACAGTTGAGCCGATACTATTTTCGCTGGAACTTGTAAGCTATCTAGTAATCGACGCCGCCGTTCCTTTGTCGAACAAGCCATTCTGTGTAACGAACCGTTTATATTGCTATTCCACGAGCGCAGAACATGCGCAAATCAGTCAAAGTAACCCTGTATGAATGTATCTGCTCTAAATTGGGCGAAAAATTACACAGACCGAATAGTTTCAATTAAAGGACAACGTACAATGAGGTACTAATCCAAAGAAAAGCACATAAGCAAATTACAGGGAACGAGATCTAGTCTCATAAATGATACATTTGAAACGTCTAGCTGGAAAGCTTGTCTTTCGTTTTATTTACTTTTCCATCACGTTGAACAAAACGGTGAAGAAAATAACATCACTGCTAAGAACTGCTGGTAGCAAGCACACTTGTAAACTTGATTTGATTTGGGGGTACTTTTGCTGCTGCACAAAAATATCCAGTTGCCTCTAGCTGCCTAATTAAATTAACCTATCGTGAAAATAGGTAAACCTACGAGCATGCAGGTTTGCCACCTATTCATACTATTCAAAAATCGATAGGTTTTATCAAGAACTCCTACCTTAGTGCTTACACCTTATAAAACGGAGTTAAGGATCAAGTTGAAAATGCGCTTTAGGCTGTACGTTCCAACAGTAACGCATACATCTATCTATTTAGGGAACGAGATGAATAAAAAAATAGCTTTGCAGATAACCTCAGACACCGGTTGATAATCTGGGATAGATAAGGATCTGTCGAAAGCGCCTTTGACGAAAGACGACTAGCAGACGATTTCATAATTGAGCGAAAAAGTGCCCAGCAGTAGTATGATGATCAACAAACATTCAGGAACTGTGGGATGTACCTAAAAGTTAGGAGCTTAGATGCCCCATAAACTGAGTAAATCACATGAACGATTACGATTTTTTATCGTTTCTCAACAGGTCGTAATACCAAGCAATATGCAGTTGCAAAAACAGGGTTCTACGCAGAATTGGCACCGGTGACAAATAGTCGTGTCTCCAGGTCGATTTATGATATAGAAAAGACTGGCTAGCTAGCTCCGGGAGAGATGTTCAGGCCTAGAGCTAAACCAGATCGCCATCTGTAATAGACGATCGGAGTGGCTATAAATACGGTGAATGATGCTTGAGAATCATAAAACGGTCGATAAGGATCTGTACATAATCCAATTGCATCGAGCAAATAAGGCGCTCTAACAGAGATGACTCTATGGACGAGATAAAGTCGTTTTCTTCTACGATAATGCCAGTCCGCACATGGCAAGGGTCGTGAAGGCCACCCTGCGAGAGACATAGTACGTGGTTCCTCTGCACACACCATATTCCCAGGCTTTGCGCCTGTGGTTATCGCGTTTTCCGGTGACAAATGATAACTAGTAGCCTCAACATCTGGCTGGACAGATTTTTCAACAGCAGAATTTCTAGTGGAAACAATAAATAATTCGGTTGACTAATGGTACAAGGTCGTGACGAGTGACGGTGAATACGTGGTATGAGTTAATTTGTTGTCAGAACTCAACTAAAATAGGGAAAAGAAAAAAGCAAGCTTACTTGTTTTCCTTCACCTAATGGTGGAAGCGGTATAGTTCTACTGTAGATCCTACAGTGCAGCCATTTAGCCCAAATGGGTTGCATCTTTATTACCCTACCCGGAAAGGCGCGACCGACGTTTTGCACAAGAAATCTCGTTAAAGGTAACGGATTTATTGATTCAATTACTGTTCTACTTCGGCTTCATTGACTATTCCAATATTCTAAATGTAGAACTTCATCAACCTTAGTATGAAATGTCCCCAACGCAACGTCAATAGCTATTAAATAAAATAAAACTAGTAGAGCGATTTCTACACGTTTTCTAATAAATTTTCATGATCTTTAATAGCTTAGTCATTTTAATCAGTTATGAAATTTATACGAGCTACTCCAAAAATCTGCACCCAACTCAGGCCTTGGGAAGATAGCACTTAGAGGATGACTGCCTAGCAGGACTATGCCTAGACTATCAGTTTTATCGTGCCTTGGCGATACAACAGAAGTAATACTTCGATAGTTCCTTTCGAAGCTGCAAAAATAACATTGGAATCCATGCAAGAAACCATACAACCGCGCCGGCTAAATTTGTCCACGGAAAACACTTCGATTCATGGCGGATATTATATGGCTGCTTATGCATATTGCGTTAAGGCTGATTACGATCCAAGCCGATATAGATTCGAGCTAGATTTTTTAGATTTGTCGCATTGCTCGTTTCCTGAAGGCTCACTTCATTGAAGGATGTCATTATGGCAATCGAATTAACTGAGAGCGTTCGTTTGTGAATCTAAAACAGTTAGGAAACAATTTTCTATTTTCTAAAATTTCAAACAAATATTTCTCTATCTAATTTCAAGGTCAAGGTAAATATTTTTTATTTGAGTTTTGGTGAAGTTGAAGAGATCATTCCGCTATTTTCTAGGTCACTACTGCTAGGAGCTGATGAGGGTTAGTTGATAATCTTCTTCTGTGATTCAAGGCCTGACCCAACAGAAACCACAAATGGCTGGAATCATCTTAAATACCTGAAAAGGTAAAAGTGTGATTTTCGCGATAGAACACTATCTTGTGATGTTTCAAGAGTTTGCCGAAAAATGTATCAGTAAACTCAGAGAAAGATTTGAGAATACTATAGTCTAGCTTTTTCTTAAGGAATCGGTTGATACTTTGTCACGCAAGAGCCTACCACTGAATATACAAAAAGTTTAGACCAGCTGCTAAGGATTTTATTCTTCGAATCGAAGACATTATATATACGTTGAATAAAAGCAAGTTGGCCATCTATAAGCTACGAATTAAAACATACTAAGCTTGTTTTTTTTTTTTTGCATTTTTACTTGAGTCCTTCTAGGTGAAGCTTAACCGACATGAATATAGATGTTTTTGTTGTAATATATTTAAAAATTATAGGTGATAAGTATTTAGGTAATAATAGCCGTTCAGAACAGTTAAACAGATTTTACTATAAAAAAAAAAAAAATTACGATCGTAGAGATCATTAAATTTCTTGTTTTTCATAACCAACTCTTTCCATGCTGTTAAAGGCCTATGTAGAAGTATCCAATTATAGGCTAACGAGTGTAATTGGACGACTGCAGGTAACAGTACGATTTCGCAGCGCTGTTTTTTTTGCGAGCAAAAATCTAACCAATTTGATTTCCTGAGAAACAGTACTTACAGGCGGTATCCTCAATTCAATCAAAAGGCGGTAAATTCGAGGCATTTGAGTTAAAGTTCTAGAAATCAATGAACGCTGGCCTTGTATATATATTATAGGTAGATAAAACGTTATATACATTGGTTTTAGCGTTGAAATAATGTTCAGGTCTAGAGTGGCTCAGGAATTACATTCTATCAAGCAGCATCATCGATCCATTGTATATAGCAATAAAAGGTATGTTGTAGACAACGCAACGGTAACACATTTGCCTACTAAAGTTAGGGACACGTGGTTAGAGACTAGATGTAGGCACATTTCGTGTTGTACTAGAAGTCGGCCGTCCGAGAGAGCCCGAAATATTTATTTTAATACACTAATATACCTGCTGTGTACGACAGATCATCGTTTCAACGACTTCCTATCCTAATGAGAAAATGTCTAAATTTTAAGTGCCCCTAAAGGCAGCTCACAGTTTACAGCTTCTGTTCGACAAGAAAGTTTTTCTCGAAAATTCTTCACAGTGGCAGTCCGCGTACTAGGGAAGGTCAAACGTTTCGTCCATAAAAGATCACCACTCAGCTGATTGTTGCCGAGCTTCGAATGTTCTTCGCCAAATAATACTAGCTTAATAGGAATAAAGGAACTAGCAACGAAAAGGAACAGCGACTCTTAAGAAAGATGCTAAAAGGATCTTATCTATAGTTCTGACAGCGTCGGCCAGCGCGGCAAATTTAATTCTAAGCCACTTCGGGCTGGCTTACTGAATACGATTTAAATCACTCTTCTATTGTTTGATGCCTTCGATTCTCTCAGTATTGTACGAAATTTCGTTTAAGCCGATGTAGCTGTTTCATGGATACTTCATAGTATACGACTAAGAGTAACAAACAATGTTTATAATTATAAGTTTGTTAAAATTAAAGCGATCAGCTAGGAAATAGGAGAAGTGGTCGATCGATTTGTTTCTCATTTTTAACGGCCGGACCCCTCATAATGCCCCTTAATATGTATTGATTCTTCGACTAAAGAAATACGTTTTATTTAAGGCGTGCCGTAAGTTTATCCTCTTATTATTTTTTTGAAAGTGTGGTCATCATCACGCATTGGCTCACCTGATGAATTAGCTGCACGCGGATATAAAATTTTATGATTGAGTTAATACCTCACCCAGACTCTTGGATACGTTTGGTGCTTTGTTGTTACTATTAAGTCATTCACACTGTGTAAAGAAAAAATTCTTTGCTATAGAATTTTTTAATAAAGTATCGTTAAGGGTATTGGCATAAAACCATCCTAACGTCAATAACGTTTTGCCACTGACCTATTGCTGTTGTACTGCTATTCTTTTTTAGGTAACGTATTATACTTTATTCTAACGTATGTATGACAAATAAATTTCGTATCTCAACTATGGTAAAAAAACAAAAACAAAAATACGGTATTTCAAACTAATTGCACCAGTCGCTTTGCTAGACTCTGTTGTTGAGTCTTGAGGAGGCAAGTAATGAAAATCAAAATAATCCATTTTTCAAGAACATGATGATATAATAAAGTGTCTTTTCCATACACGCTTCACAATTAAGGTCAGATGTAGGTATAATAAGCGCTACTTCTTATGACGTTTTTCCAACCTACAGCTGAATTGTTTCTGTTAGCTAGATAGCTAGCTACTAGATATCTAGGCCCAGGATAGCGACGGGAGCTAGTTATTGCAATGTTAGCTGTTGCGTGCGGAAACGGGGTCCAACAAATTAAGGGCGTATCCGAGCGTAACCGGGATGAATTAGCGCGTTAGAATAGGGCATGCATGAGCCTTAAATAATCGACAAAAACCTCATGACATATTAGTTGAATATTAGCCGCTGATCTATTTACTTACATCGCCTTCATACAGCTCAGGTAAGTAAGCAGAGGACGCAAAAGCCCGTCGTCACATGACAGGCTTTTAAGGAAGTTAGGAAGATGATTCTTGAAAATTACTAAAGCAGGACAAACTTTATTTCTAGATAACAGAGAAATAATAATTTCGACATAACAATTGATGCGAATTAAGAAAAATATTCAGGTCAAAAGCATTTCTCGTAAATATCTGGCCCTCGCGGCTTTTTTTCTACACGAGTAAAGGTATAAATTATCGCATGGAACATTAAGTGCAGCTCGGCTTCATGTTCCTGTAAGATATTTAAAGCTCGACTTTTCTAACATGCCTGAATTTATACGCCGCGTGCCATCTACATATAGGGGAACGTGTGTTACTTCTGAGCGTTTGCAAGAGCTTTATCCAGAAATAACCTTCTGAGGAAAACTACCGCCTAAAACTATCGTATGATAAACTTCCCTGTAGGCGACGGGCTTATAGTGAACGGAGGGGCAACCTAGGTCGACCTACAAAAGTCAACAAAGCAAAAGTAACAACTTCTAAGATCGGAATTTTCATACACTTGGAGCAAATAAATAAACGCAGTTTACGTTATACAGATCACAGAATGAAACAGGGGAACATTTGTGTGAACTTGATCATCTACGTCTTTCCGCGTTTTAAACAGTTATTGCACGCACATCTTTACAAGGTCCAATATGAGCTTCGTTAAGTAAGCGACTTAGTGCTTAAATTGATGCATTATATCACCTTCTTTAGGTACTTATCAAAATTTGACTGCAATGCTGGATTTATAATAACTAGTTCAAAAGATATATATTGGATTGTGTCGAAATGGAATGTAACGATGTTTACGATAATCAAACCTATCTTGATAAAAAGGCTTTTATGCCTGAAAATAGATGCATTATTCGGTTAGCCTGGACTTACCATTCTTCATAATACGCAGACGCAGACGCAGACGCAGTCTAATCAACGATGCCGTGTGTATTTAGTACTGAACAATTATGATTCCTGTAAAAACTATCTTCATTTTTCGTACCAGCTTATCTGGAAAATAATTTACAAAAATCTGGCTTCCAGCGCGTTGATAAGCTTCAAATATTTACAAAAAGACATGTCTCTATTTGAAATCGAAGTTACAATCAATATAATTGATGAAACATTTATCGATATTTGCGTGTAAGCTAATGGTTTACCCTTCAGAACGCATATTTTAATAAAAATACAGTACAAGATATATTAAAGAAACATGGCTTCCTAACCTAGCTTCACATTGGCAGAAATTCTTATGAAGAGGCTCTAGGAAAAGTTCTGATGCAGATTGCTCCGTTCCTCCTAGAAATGTAAAAATGCTGAATTATTGTTTACATCTCCGGAAGGGAGCGTCCAACTTAAAGTAATAAAGATTCATATTAGCAAAGCTGGCACAATAAAAGTTGCCGCTCGAACGGCAGTCAGCCTGTCGCAGGACGCCGTTGGAAAAATAGTAATCATTACTGATAAATGGGAACCAGTGGAAAAGAGTAAAAAGGAACAGTACCAACAACAACAACAACAACCCTGCCGTACTTCACGTTTCTCATCAGCGACTTACGCTCAAAAACCAATTAGGGAAACCGCTCCATGCGGATGATTTTGTACGCTGAAAATCACATACTGTGCACAAAATGCGCATTTCGCTTCCTAGTAGTTGCCGTTGGCAGTTTCGAAAACCTGTCGACCTTCGTATCAATAAGGCTAAGGCCGAAGCAACGCAGTTCAGAAAAAAGAGGTAGTTTACTGGCAAGCATTGGTTCGTTTAATTTGAAATGAAAAAAAGCTTAAAACAGTAAAACTGATCTACGTACCCGAACAAGTGATATGAGATCTCGTATAGAGCACATCAGACAGGTACCAGAAAGGAAATGCTGCATCAATCACCGTTCACTGAAACCTTTTGTGTTGGCCGTTTACTTTGAAGACAGCACTATGTGTCAGCTACGGAACTCGGATCATCTTGAAAAAGGAGGGTACCCCAAACGAAATGACGAGTAATAAAGCTGATCCTAAAACTGGCATTTAAGCACTACGCAGCAACACTATTTATTAGTCATTATCTCTTTGCTAGTTGAAGATACCTGAGAAGCGTTTGATCTTCCTACGAAAAGCGTAGCATACTGCAACTTCATGGACAGAAAAAAGATCAAAAGTGCGAAAGTAGATCTGTTGGTATCTACGACGCCAGCAGGGACCGATCACGGTTGAAAACGTACTAACAAAAATTATCATTGCCATTTATAGATTTCGTTATCTGATGTACGAGACGGAACGATACTATAGACTAGATTAGAGTCACGGTGACGTGTTTGGAAAATTACTGCAGATATCGCTATTTTGGAATCAGTAAGTTATAAGAAAAACAATCACTAGCAAGAACATTCTACGAAAGAATTAATACTATGGCATTCCATACGTACATACATACTTAAAAAAAAAAAGGGCCCTTCTCTAAGATTAGTAGTGACGCATATAGTTTTCTAGGAGATAAATACTGGGTCTCAAATACTGGTTAAATAATGGGTCTCAAATGTTTTTGAATTAGGTGCATTGCGTTGGCCAGTATCTGCGAGGGCACAATTGTCTATATGGGGTAGTTGCTTCACAACGAAAACGTACGATGTAGATCACACTTCCAGTTATTTCTAGAAATTTTCGCACAGTATGAACGCTTGCCCAAAATATTCTCTGCTTTATCAACCATAAGTGCACAATAATAAATATCTACATATTTAACTATGATAAAAGACAAACTTATTGTTATCACCTATCTGCAGTGAAAATCAATTACGATCTATGTGATCATACAGTGCAGGAATCGAAATTTATTTTTTTCATTATTGATGCACTATCGTCAATGATGATCGCTTAAAATTGACGTCGGGTTTACACCTGATGATGAAATGATTTACAAACACAAATTTCTACTTATTATACTGTCGTCTATAGCTCACTCAAAAGCTATCGCGAACTTCCGATAATGGTATCTTCTGACGTATAGCCTGGCAAGCAACTCGGTGATTTTTGAAACAGACCCCGTTCCTTCAAATGGGCTAACAAGACTCCACGCTTGAGGCTATGTATATGCAGCAGGACCCCATTGATACGACCATTTATAACGATAAAAAGGAACAAACTAAACCACTAATAGTTTCTAATATACAGTATATTGTCTATGCGTCTATTTGTTCAGTCAGGAAAAACGATCATACGCTTAAAAGTTGAATGTTTTATTGTTTCCTATATGATAATAGATAGTGTATGCGATTTCTTAATAAAGCTAAAATAGAAAACGTGTTGTGTCGCTCAAACAAACGTGACTCGTGAATGCATTTGTTAAATAGTCGTGCACTGACGACACAACAACCAACGGAACAGGCTTAAGGATAAGGGTGCTGCCTCATTCAATGGAACAAAAATAAATGCTGGTACAAACAACGCAACTAGCAGGACAGAACCATTGCCCATCCAAATGGATTACCTCTACTCCTAATTTTGCAGGTACTCGTATTGGCCCTAACTGCATCACCGTTTCCAACAGCCCGAAAAGAATGTATCATAAACAAATGGGCTTTATGCCCACGGAATAGTAGACAGCCATTTAGAGGATGTTCAGCTAATATTTCATCGTATGTCGAAGATATACCGATTTGTAGTAGTTATTTACCTTACGTTATTTCTAGTTTAAAAAAAAGAACCAAGTATCGCAAGTTCACTGTTCACTGCAAAAGCAAAGGACATGAATTCTAGCTTTCCTCTGTCCTCTATAATTTCACCGTTAGCGGAGAATGATTTGATAGGCGCGTCATTTTCGATATCCGAAGAAAAATTCTTTGATTTTTTTGCTATGGAAAGAAACTATGACAGACGAAACACTTTTTGTCTTATCAGCGAAATAGTTTATATACTGTTGAGGTATTCTGCTTGTGAGAACCAGTCCTTGAGATTAAAGGAAATGTGAGAAGGTACATTGAGGTGTGACATGTACTCGAGTCCATCGAGCTTTTTTCACGAGGTATTAACTTTTTGGCCACCATCATCACGATGACCTAGCAGCGTGAGGGTTATCTCGAACATATAACGGGTAGGAAGTCGAATGTTATGCGAGTTTGGCATTTAACCTGCCTACTTAGATGTTGCGCTAACATTTAGGATAAGCTTTCCCATTTGTTATTGCCTTTAGTAGGAAACACTCACTAGAAGGTATTTTGTTAACGGTATACCATTCATCCACAAGCATACGCTATGAGACCTCTTTCTCATTTTACAGGATTCTAACTGAATAACCATGAGTGACAAGGAGTTTTCTTTTCCCGTTTTTTTTTCTTTTTTTTTGCTATGTACGCCTGCAGTTTTTCTCGAAATACTAATCTAGTCGTTAATTCTAACTTATATTACACCAAAGCCATGTTTCTATTTGGAACAGTAAGTTACAGGGAACAATTTAGATGCACCTTTATATATTAGATTAATTTTGTTTTTATATATACATATTTTTTAGAATAATTTTATTTAAGCGAGATGTCTATTGAGGAAACTATGGCACATATCAGTACAGTTGTGTATTATGCATACTATATATATTTTCGCTTCTGAGTCCAGTTACTACGCTCATTACCGAGAGCGATAATGATAGCCATTACGTTTTATTTTTTTTCGCCAGTTACAACATATCAGTATAAAAGTGTATTTTAAGCAAGAAAATTATCACACGATTGCAGCATCCCCAATGAAGTAATTCGACAGTAACAAAGGCAAGAGCTTTTTTACGAGGCGCATAATGGGCACAACCGATATGTGTGTACTTTATCTGGATAGTTACCACTATCTAGATAATGTAACATAAAATGAAGCTTTTTTTTGATCACGACGCTAATCTGCTTCATAGTGCAGCATAGTTGTAAAGCCGGACGCTAAAACGGAGCCAGTCTAAGAAGAAGTCACACAGGGTTGTACAACGACGCGGATGAGGTCGGGTCAAGAACGACCGCGATGGCGCAGGAAATTAATGGAAGCGACTATGACAGCCATCTGATTAGAGAATGGACTGATTCCGATGGAGAACAAGCACATTTAAAGGGCAAAAGTTATTAGTTTGAACAGCTCGAGTAGGAAATAAGCTTCAAGAGTTATCGCTACTTAATCGTAAGTATGTGTTAAATTAGAGCCTAACTTTTCTCATTTGGAAATGTGTAAAGGGCAGAAGGCATTAGTCTTTGTAACTTCAGTCCTTTGATAAGCTATATTAATAATAACAATTCCATTAAGTTGTGTGCGACTTGAGGGACTAAACACAGTATATTTATCCGTTCATCATTTGTGGTATTATCGTACGACAGTTATAATGTAAGTAATAAAGGCTACAGTAAGTGATAATTACGAAAATCGTTATTATCTAACAGTAATCTTGATTATTCTTATTGAGAGAAGATCAAAATGATTGGCGTTCTTTCGTTATAGGATCGTGTTGGTTTTTAGAAGGTCCTTAATCGGTCGCAGTAATTCAACTATGAAGGGTTCCGAAGAAACCGGTCGATCGATTCTGCGGTAAACAACAAACTACAAAGTCTACTAGCAAACGTTACTTAGCTTTTTATGAATAATTTGATAAATCTTGCGCTTTCCCACATCGCCAGCCATGCAGACTGACAGAACTGTGCTGCAAAGGATCCTAATGACTTATTGTACTACGCTGGTTCAGGGGTGTGAAAATATTTTTTGTTTTCAGTCAAAACAGTGAAGACGCAGTGATTCACCATTGCATATGAATTGAAAATAGTAAAGCCGTTGGTCACTACTTTCAAGGTTTCAATGACCGTGCTACTCAAGTTGGAAGGTCGATATTAAAATAATTCGTTATCAGTCATCCGGATCGTTTGGTACACTGACACATTTGAGACTAATTCATAGCTGTTTATCGCCTCGATCTCCGACGTCGCAAATACGGAACGTTTTTGAGTGAAAAACAGGCCAACAAAGAGGAAAAACAAGAGGAAGAAGGTGACGGCAGCTTCATTGTTATTCGTTGGTTCGCTCAATCGGCACGTTTACTTCAAACGAATTTGGCTAATAGGGCTCTCCGTTCTAAGAGTTATAGCGAAAAAACAAATTAATTTATCGATAAATCTGCACTAACGACACTGTGAGTCCACCGTAGGATGCTCTGCTAAGGAGCAGGAGCATGCGAGGAGACGACGATGGCTGCGGCAACGCTGGCTGAGTAAGGTAGTCAGGAGCGGATTTAGCAGCGAGGGGTCGCGGACGAAGTGAGATGGAATGGCACGTCTCGATATATTTGTGCGGAGAAGCAATACCTATAAATATGGGATACTTTGTTAGCGCTTGATAAGCGCTACCGCTTCTTCTCAGGGGCAGTGCATCGGTCGGCAGCGACGGCGCTTGCTGCGGCAGCATTAATAACACGCTAACCCAGATCGACGGAACCGCAGCGGATGAAGCCGCGCAAATGACGTAACCAGGCCACGCGAAGTCAAAGCAGGCAAAGAGCGGCAAATCGATCGTCCGACCGACCGCCAGTCCACCCTCCCCCAGGCGGCAGGCAAACATCCAATCAGGCACTCAAATCCCCTGACCTTTCTTCGACGTTACCTCCTAGGCCCGCCTTCGCCCTTCTTTTTGTCCTGAATGCAAATTCCCCCTTTTTACTCCCTTCAATGTTACCCTAAAAATTCTTAAGCACTCGCCGTTGCTGAGAGCTGCCGCGACCTGCGAAACAGAGGCTTCGAACCGCCACTGCTTTGTCGCTGTCGTCCCCTTTCCGCCGATGCTGACGGCACCGCTATTGCTGCTATAGCGTCGAGCCTTAATTAATTTGCCACTCGCAACGTGTAATTCTCAAGGTGCCTCTTTTCCCCGTCGTCCTTTACGCATCCCCATTGCTTCCTAGTCGCCGGTGCGCTGCTTCCGTTTGGCGAGGAAGTGGTAAAGAAGAAGGTAGCGATAGCGCAAGCTGGAAGGTGAATCATTTTGGATGGCAGCGGCTGTACCGCTGTTGCTGATGGTTGCTATTGTTAGCAATAGATCGCGTTCTGAGATGGCACAGTGTCTCTCATAATATGGAAATTAATTTTTACTGATTTAGCGATGATGAGGTCAACGAGAGTCAGACTGATGTTTTTTTTAACTAGTATTGTAAAGCTCTATTGTTCTCTTAACTTAATGATGTCTTTCTGCACATGATGGGTAAGAACATGTGTTTGCAAAACGGCCCGACAGAATTACTCTTTTCTCACGTATGCCACAGCAC